TATTTATTTATTTATTTATTTATTTAACTTATATGCCGCCCACACTACCCGAAGGTCTCTGGGCGGTTTACAGCATTTAAAATACAATAAAAAGGCAAAATAAAAGGGCAAAATATAAAAATTGCCATCAGACCCACATTTGATGTTATTTCAGTTAAAAGCCATTTGGAACAGGAAGGTTTTGACCTGGCGCCGAAATGTCATCAGCGTCGGCGCCAGACGAATCTCAGTCGGGAGGGCATTCCATAGTCTAGGGGCAGCTGCCGAAAAGGCCCTTATTTGTGAAATAAGTGGTTACCATTTTCTGAAAACCCTATTTCAGCACAATTTGTGATTTACTAAGATAATCTGAAAAGTTTTAAGGTACCATAATGGGAGTAATATGTTATGAAAATGTTCTGAAGATATTTGTCAGTATTCCAAATGAATATAGGAGAAAGCTTTTTTATCTGCCCCAATAATACACGTCTTTTGTAGATATTAATTTAAGCTAAAAAGACAACTCTTTCAGCATTGAACGTTGGGCATAGTAGCAGCCATACATTATTCCTTGCAAAAAAGAAACCACCTTGCTTTCCGTGACACCAGTTTTTAAAAAATACCATTTGATTGATACTGATTGTCTCTCATGCTATTGCTCACCTAGTCCATAAACTGCAATGAGTATGACTGTTTTGTCAGTTTAGCTTGTTTTCACTGCTTCTCTTTTCTTGCTGTTGGATATTCTGTCTACACCTTCTCTTGACTATTGCTTTGACTGGCTTCTCTACTATTCAGTCTTTCCAGTTTCAAAAAAATGCTGTATTTGCCAAGCATTTTGTTGCTTTTATTCCTCAACCCATAGACTGCTCAGCCACTACTGTTTGTATTCTTTCAAGAAAGGTTTTAATTTCCACTGTCCAGATTCCTTCCCATATTTTCCTAGCGTTCATATTCACTGCTGTTTCCCATAAATATTTGTTTGGGTTGGTAAAATGAGTACCCAGCTCACTGGAGGATCAATGTGTAGCCTGCATAATTAATTTGTAAACCGCCCAGAGAGTGCTTGAAGCCCTATGGGGTGGTATGTAAGCAGCATGCTTTGCTTTGGGCCTTAAACTAAGGTTTTCAGTGGCACACTATCAAATTCTTTGTAACTCTTTTTTTTAAGTGAAAAGTGTGCTTCTTATATACTGCCTCATAGTGTTTAAAGCAGTGGTTCCTAACCTTGGGTATTTTTGGACTGCAATTCCCAGAAGCCTTCACCGTCAGCTGTGCTGGCTGGAGTTTCTGGGAGTTGCAGTTCAAAAATACCTGAGTAACCCAAGGTTAAAAATCACTGGTTTAAAGTACTCTCTGTGTAGTTTACAAGTTAATTACATAGGCTACACATAGCCCCAGAAGCTGGGTACTCATTTTACCAATCTTGGAAGGATGAAAGGCTGAGTGAACCTTGAGCCAGCTCCCTAGGATTGAACCCCAGGTCATGCACAGAGTTTAGCTGCAAACAGCAATTTAACTACTGTGCCACAAAGCTCCTTGGAATATGTGACTTCTTCTAAACATCTTGTCTCTTATTCTAAGTTCTTTGGGCCTCAGTCTTGCCTTTGTCTGCTAATTTTGTTCCTAAGGAATGTGTTTTTAGCTTTGGCCCATCTGCTTGCCTTCTGCAGGTATCTTGCATGTTTTAGTTTAGACTTCTTGGATTATCTCACTTCTTCATGTTATTTTTCACTACAATATTTTATTGGTTCTCATATCTGCTTTCCTTTTGTTTTTATATATATTTCATCTATTTCTTCTTAATGAAACAGTGTAATGTATGTTCTAGCAGCATTTGTTTTTAATATGGCAAAGAAAGTAACCTTTTTACTTGTAGATAAAATATAGCTAGATCGTTCATTGTTCACGGTCATATCAACCTGTTACCCAAGTCTTGTTTTTTTTCCCCAGCATCTCTAAGATTGATCTGTTCCTTTGTCTTTCACATATCTAGCAGCTTGGCCCATGGCCAGTTGGAGTTAATTGTTCATTGGCTATTGCTTCCACATTTTAAATTCCTGATGGCTTTCAGGTCATTCCATGTCAAATAAACCAACGCATGGAACTTTGATGTCATGGATTAAGTTCATTTTTGATATATTTGTACCTTACCATGAGATGTTTAAAAATATTTTTTCAGAATTTTTTGATCAAACCAATTCTGAGATACTGCATTATCAAAATTGGAAAAAATGCCAAAATTCACTACCCACCATAACTTCACATGTAATTTAATACATATGTATGATAACTACAGACGTGGGACAGGTGTCATTTTAAAGCTTATGAATAGGGTTTTCATTTGATATATAACATGATGCAGTTGCAAATTTCCAAAAAACTTTACACATTTTAAAAAATTGAATTTTTGGGAAAATTGATTTTTTAAAAATTTTCAGAAAATTCACACTTAAAGATACATGTCTTGTAGCCAGTCAATCCAAATTTCAGGTTAGTATCTCATTGTTATCATACAAAATTTACATTTTCTTGTTGGCAATGACAAAGATTTTAATTGACTTAGCCCTGAAAATAGACCAAAAATTCTATATCTCATTATTAAGAACCTCTTTTTTCTTGGCTAGCATGTTGGATGTTTTTGTCATCTCCTGTGGGGTTAGCTGGTATGTTCTCCCTGTAGCTGTAATTGGATCTAGTTTGCAAAGGATGAAGTTTCCTGGCACTGTAAGAACATCCGGCTTTCTAGGGTAAGAGAAAGGTGTTGCTGGTCCAGCTGGATGTAAGGATGATAGCTAGACTTCACGTTTTGTAGCATCCATTGAAACAACACATCCCATTCACCCTGAGTTATTATAGGCACATGCCAGAAAACCATTCAAGTGATCGAAATCTACATCTTGAAGTTTGGGAGTGATTTTAATACAATGTAAAACAGAATCACGAGAAGCTGAAAATGCTTTGGTTTCTCATTTTTCAGTTGATACTGGGAGGAAGGCATGACACTTCCGAGTTCCTGTAACTGGAACTGCTTCATCAAATCGTACTTTTAAAAATTTCTCCTCTTCCAGGTATTCATCATTTGTAATGTAAAAAAGGCAACTCTACACATGGACATCACTAGACGGGCAATACCAAAATCAGATTGATTATGTTCTCTGCAGCCAAAGATGGAGAAGCTCTATACAGTCATTAAAAACAAGACCTGGAGCTGATTGTGGCTCTGATCATTAGCTTCTTATAGCAAATCTCAAGCTTAAACTGAAAAAGTAGTAGGAAAAACCAGTGGGCCAGTCAGGTATAATCTAAACCAAATCCCTTATGAATACACAGTGGAAGTGAAGAACAGATTTAAGGAATTAGATTTGGTGGACAGAGTACCTGAAGAACTATGGATGGAGGCTTGTAACATTATACAGGAGGCAGTAACAAAAACCATCCCAAAGAAAAGGAAATGCAAGAAAGCAAAGTGGCTGTCCAACGAGGTTACAAATAGCAGACAAGAGAAACGAAATGCAAAGGAGATAGGGAAAGTTACAGAAACCTGAATGCTGACTTCCAAAGAATAGCAAGGAGAGACAAGAGGGCCTTCTTAAATGAACAGTGCAAAGAAACAGAGGAAAATAATCGAAAGGGAAAAATCAGAGATCTGTTCATGAAAATTGGACATATTAAAGGGTCATTTTGTGCAAAGTAGGACATGATAAAGGAGAATAATTATAAGGACCTAACAGAAGCAGAAGACATCAAGAAGAGGTGGCAAGAATACACAGAGGAATTATACCAGAAAAATCTGGATGTCCCGGACAACCCAGAGAGTATGGTTGCTGACCTTGAGCCAGACATCCTGGAGAGTGAAGTCAAGTGGGCCTTAGAAAGCACGGCTAACAACAAGGCCAGTGGAGGTGATGGCATTCCAGTTAAACTATTTAAAATCTTAAAAGATGATGCTGTTAAGGTGCTACATTCAATATGCCAGCATGTTTGGAAAACTCAACAGTGGCCAGAAGACTGGAAAAGATCAATCTACATCCCAATCCCAAAGAAGGGCAGTGCCAAAGAATGCTCCAGCTACCGTACAGTTGCACTCATTTCACACGCTAGCAAGGTTATGCTCAAAATCCTCCAAGGTAGGCTTCAGCAGTATGTGGACCGAGAACTCCCAGAAGTACAAGCTGGATTTCAAAGGGGCAGAACAACTTGAGACCAAATTGCTAACATGCGCTAAATCAGTGGTTCTTAACCTTTGTTACTCAGGTGTTTTTGAACTGCAACTCCCAGAAACCCCAGCCAGCACAGCTGATGGCGAAGGCTTCTGGGAGTTGCAGTCCAAAAACATCTGAGTAACAAAGGTTAAGAACTAATACCCTA